CTATACTACAAGGCTATAGTAATAAAAACAGCATGTGTAGATCAATAAAATAGAATAGAGAGTACAGTCTAGAAATAAGCCCACGCCTATATAGACAAAGGAGACAAGAATATACAATGGGGTAAAGACAGTCTCTTCAATAAATTGTGTTGGGAAAAATGGACAGATACATGCAAAAGAAAATAAAACTAGACCACTTTCTTAGACCATATAGAAAAATAAACTCAAAATGGTTAAAGACTCAACATAAGACCTGAAACCATAAAACTCCTAGATAAAAACACTGGCAATAAACTTTTGTACATCGCTCTTAATAAGTCTCCTCAGACAAGGGAAACAAAATAAAATATAAACAAATGGGACTACTGCAAACTAAAAAGGTTTTGCACAGAAAAAGAACACATAAAAAATTCTGTATCGCTAAGAAAAATTTCACCACTCAAAAATATGCATGTACTCTCTATATGATACATAAACACATTAATCAAACATTTGATTATCTGAATTCTAGAAAGAGACTTTCTTCCCTTAGAGACTAAAAGCCTCACACCTGAACTCCACTGATATCAATTATTTGCATGAATATCTTTTTTAATTAAGTCAAGGATTTATATATTATTATTACATTCCTAAAGTATAGTACAGTTTAGGCACTCAGTAAAGGCTTGCTTAAGTAATTAGATAGATGTATATATCACTTTGGGATTAAATGTATATATTTATATACAGTTGGCAAGCTGTATTTGTAGAGAAGAGGCATACCATAAATTAAGCAAAATGCAAGCCCACAAATCCTTATCTTGGGTTTGTTTTGAAATTAAAAGTAACCTGGTGTATATACTATGATGTCTGGGGCAGTATTCTGTAATTAGTAATATTAATATTTCACAAGAAAACATATTCCCATTAAATGAAAGACTAAATCAACGTCTGCTCATGTCTGCTGCCCCATATCAATGGATTTTGAAATTAAGGATGAGGGATGACATGTAGAACACCTTCCTCAGCTATTTCAAGGATTAAAATAAATCAGAACTTCAAAGATCTTAAAAAAATTAATACAAAAGTTCAAAAAGTTGAGTTTGCTGCCAGACTGTGCTGGAGTTATAAATACAAATAATACAGGAATAATAATATTTAATTAATCTGTACTGAAGATATTTTTATAAGAATCAAGTGAATTCAATTTATGTAAAGTGCTTATCATAGAACCTGGTTCTCATTGTGCATTTATGTATTAAGTATTACTATTTACAACTGAATTGCAATTCATTTGGACATTCTTTAAAGTACTATTCATTCAATAAATCTTTACTAAATTCCATATGCCACACATACTTTATAGCAGGAGAATAATGATAAATCAAGGCAGACATATTTTGGCACTCATGTTGACCACTACTTCACAAAACTTTTAAATTTGCCATATACTGATAGCTGTATCAGTCTTTTGAAGATCAACCTGATTTACTTCTACTTTAGTCACAAACGAATCCTCTTAGCTCAAAAATATCATACTCGATTTTTAAAGATTTCCTTAAAAAGTGATTTCATTTCTTCCCTCAGCTGCCCTAACCCTTCCAGCCATAGGAGATATAAAGGACTATATTCACAAAATGAACCTTACTTAAAAACTCAGATTCCAGTAGAGAATAAACTAAGTAACTGAATGATCTAAGTTAAAACACAAATTAATACCTTTCCATAGTAATTCCTGCTCTGGAAGCACTGGATAAAATGGCAGTCAGGGCGATTTGAGAAGGTGTGTATAAAAGGTAAGCATCTGTCAGCGCAACTCTATTAAGAAAGTCATCTGCTGTTTTTCTCAAAATCTCTGGATTCTCCAACATGGGATAGCGGGTCTAGAAAGAAAGTTTGCAAATGTTATTACTTATGAGGGTTTAATGAAGTGACAGTTCAAAATATTCATATTAATCAGAAATTAACACAAGATGCTTTTATAAAACTTTTTTCTATACTCTAGTAACAACCATCTTTCCATGTAAGATTATTTTGTACTCCACATTAGAATGTACTGAAAGTGCAGTTGTTAAGTAAGAAACATATGCTTTAAAATAATATAGCTCAAGTTCCCAGCATAGTACTTGGCTATTCTGATTTATGTTAATCTATTTTTGTCCTTTTCCACAAAAGGAAGTATGGGAGAGGAGTCTCTTAGAAATTCCATTGGGTCTGAAGTTGACCCAAGAAATACATACTTCCCAGGTAATCCAGGTGATTCAGATGTAAGACAATATTTAGAAACCAAAGCATCACCTCATTTTGATTTGAAATTCCTCTACTTAACGTTTACTTTTGGAAAGAAGCAAATGGAAATAAATCTTGGTTTAATTACAGAATTATTTTTAGAATATGCCTAGGAAATATGGAAGTTCCCATATTTCCTGACAATTCTTACCCTTTAACATGAGCCCTAAATCCTTGGATTTACTGTAGATACCCACAATCAGCTCCAAAAGCAGTAAGAAATCTTTTCCATAATCTGAAACAAAAATTCAGATATAGCCTTGGCCTGTTTTGTTCAGTAGTTAGAGGTCGGTCCTTGGACTGAAGGGTCATGGGTTCAATTCTGGTCAAGCGCACATACCTCAGTTGCAGGCTCTATCCCCGGCCCTGGGTCAGGGTGCATGTGGGAGGCAACCAATCGATGTGGCTCTCTCACATCAATGTTTCTCTCTCTCTGTCTCTCCCCCTTCCTTCAACTCTCTCTAAAAATCAATGGGAAAAACAAATCCTCAGGTGAGGATTCACACACACACACACACACACAATCAGATACAATTGTGTAGTCACACCCAGGTGTAGTCATGATCCCAAAATGCCTAACCTCTGACATTCCACTTTTCCCAATACATTTGCTCAATTATTTCACAGCTATTCTTTGTCTTCCTCCTTAGAACTTTTGGTCTCTATCTCTCTACTTGTTTCTACTCACCCGTGTTCTCTGGTCCTTATTTTCCTCCTGATTTCCCTGTACCATATGTTACCAACACATTGCTGGCAAAAGTTCAACAGGTGAATTCAACAAACCTCCTGTTTTGCAATCATACCTAGATTTCTGGTGCTGCTAGAGAAAACAATACAACTAAGAGGTCTGGTATTATTATTATTATAAACTAGAGGCCTCGTACACGAATTCGTGCACAGGTGAGGTCCCTCAGCCTGGCCAGCGATTGGGCCAATCAGGGCCGTGTCACGGGAAGTTGGCTGGCCAGGGGGATGGACCGTAGGAGTTTGGCTTTGGGAGCACACAGACAACCAGGGGGCAGCTCCAGCGTTGAGTGTCTGCCCCCTGGTGGTCAGTGTGTGTCATAGCTACCGGCCAGTCATCTGGTCATAACGGTCACTTAGGCTTTTTATATATATAGATTTAGGTTCCCTTATCTTAGCAAGGCTCTCAACACTGCCTACCTATAATGTTCCATAGAAAACATGTTCTATTTTTCAATGTCTATGTTAAACATTCTCCATCTCTCTCAATGTTTTTACTAATTCTCAGAAACTCTATCACTCATAGAAAATGGTATCTGCTCTTAACAAAGAAACTCTGTGTCCTGCACCACTAAATTTCCAGGCATAACACTGTTTTCCTCTTCCCTGCCTTAAAAGAGCGACTGTTCCAAGGCCAATCCTTGTACCTTGCTTTGAAACCGACGGCAGGCCCTTCTAACTTACTCCAAAGAGAAACTTGAGCTACAGATTTTCCACCTTTCCGTTTAAGCTTTCTCTCATTACCAGCTCCCCACATCAGTTTCTTCCACAAAACAAAACTCAACAGAAAGCCGTCCCTTTCCTCTTTTTCTAGCAGTTCCCTCATCTTCTCAATAATCCCATCTTCTTTTTCCACTTCAAAGACAAGCTGTCTAATCCAAGTTATATATAACTGTTTGCTCACTTATTCATTCCCCAAATGGCTCCAATCTGCTTTCACCCTGCATACGCCACAGAGACTACTTTCACCCAAATCACTTTTCTGGCACTAAATCCAGCAAGCATTAACCATCTACTTCTACTCTGCCTAAATTCTGAGTGGGAGTGGGGAGTTGCTCATATTCATCTTCTAAAAGTTTACTTCCTTTCCCTTTTCTAGAAAGTCCTACCTCTCTGGGTTATTTTTCAGTCTTCTTACTAGATTCTTATATTTCTCTACCTACCCTTTATATGATCCTCATTTAAATTTTCCACTTTCAGTTTTCCTGGGGCAATGATGCCCGAGTCTAGCCATTGTCTCTTACCTCCAGATACAAATGACTACCCACCTGGATGTGTTGCAGCCAATGGAAATTCAGCAGGTTTCAAACCAATTTCATCAACCCCCGGATCCCTCTGCAGAACTCCCACTCCCCCGAGGGGTGGGGGTCCTCACTTGTCCTCACTATCTTTATGTAATTAAACCTCAAGGTCTATTGATTCTGTTTACTATCTCTGAAGTCCATTAAGCTCTCTGTACCCCCTACTGCTACATAAGTCAAACTAACAGCATAGTAACTGGTATCCTTTAATCCATTCTAATACATTCTCCACATTACCATGACACATATAGATGTGCAATAAGTATATGATGCACACCGATGCATGAATTTGCAAACATGATTTGTTTAAAGGAGTAAACTTAATTTGACCTTCTCCAGACTTAACCTTTCACTGGCTTACCCCTGCTCTATTCAAAACCCTTAACATCACTTCCAGTCTTGGCTCCACCTTGCACTCAGGCAGCACTCTGTGGCAGTCTTCCCCTCTATCTCGAAGCTGTTTAGGTTCTTCAGTGCAACATGGTTCTTGAATCTGGGCCTTCGACTGGAGAAGTCCTGCTGGGATGCTCTTTCACCGCCAAATTTCTACTCACGCTATGAACTTCACTTTCCCCCCACCACTGCTTTTCAAGAAAGTGGAGGGAGGGGAGGGCGGTGAAACATCAATGTGAGAGAGACACAAGGACTGGTTGCCTCCACACACTCCCCTACCAGGGGTGGGGAGCAAACCCACAACCCAGGTACATGCCCTTGAACAGGAATTGAACCTGAGACCCTTCAGTGCATGGACTGATGCTCTAACCATTGAGAACACTAGCCAGAGCTGAACTTTATTTTTATTTACTTTTTTTGAACTTCACTTTAAAATGACACTTTCTCAGAACTGCCTTCCCTTCCTCTCAATTCTGCTATCTCCTTCAAACGTATCCTGTATTTTCCTCTCTGTAACACTGAGCACAATGAATATGATTATTTTTCCCATTAGATTATAAGGCGAATAAATGCTGAGGCTGTTCTTGGCTTCATCATCGAGGATGATGTTTGGCATATAGAAGGTACCCAAATTTCACCTTTTAAATGAGATGAATGACCCAGTTTCTGATTCATGTTTGACTTTATGCTAACTATCCAAGTCCTTTTTCAGGGTCAAAACAAAAAAACTTAAGGCGTTTTTATCGATATTTATTTACTTACATTTTTTACGCCTATACTTTGATTCCAGATCACAATGTACTAAAACTAGAAGTCACTTAACAATTTTCTAGTTTAAAATTAAGAATTTTTTTTAAGGTTCTTTAAATAAGATCTATGACAGTATACTTCAGAGTTACAAGAAATCTTTGTAACCCACCCTGGGTTATCCTTCCTATGGTTATTGGCTTATTAAAAAATGTTGTGATTATTTTAGAATTCAGATTAATAAAAGTGGCCCAATTTAGAAAAATTTAAGGAAGAAAATGATGTTCACAGGTTAACCAGTCAATGTAAAAATATTAAGTGTAACACAGTTGGGGCAATAAGCCTTCTCTCTAAATCTACTCCAGGTCTGTGATATTAACCATGGTTGCTGCTACCAAACCAAACAGGAGAAGCAGCACCTACTTATTTCCTGTATGCTTAAGTTTTAAAAGCATTACTCTAAATTCACAATGTTCTTTCTTATGACCCCTGAATCAGTATTTGCAGATCTACTAAATCAGAAGCTCTGGAACTGCAGCCCAACAAGGAGTTAACAAGCCCTCCAGGTGATTCCTGATGTACACTGAAGTTTGAGAACTACTGCCATGGAGGTCCAGGCCACGCTCACTTTTTAGCTGAGCCCATGTTTTAACAATTAAGATAATTAAAAGTTATGATAAAATTTTGGATTCTTTTGCTTATAGAACGATAACAAAGGAGTACACTCTACTAGTTTACTTTTTACCAAAAAGATTACCTTTAAATCAATGAGAAAGCCTTCAAATGGTCTATAAGGATTGTGGACAATAAGGTGGAAATTAAGTTGCTGTATAAGAAGCAGTTCATATTCCAAAATCTGTTCAAGTGCCTTCTCCTGTCCAAGAGGGCTCTCCCGCAGATTTCCAACAAATTGTAGACTAGATACATTGAATTCATCCACTTTGCAGGCCAAAAATGCACACGTGAGCCTAGAGGAAAATATAAGGAATATGATGAGGGATCTTAAATTCAGAATAGAATGCAAATCTTAATTACCCTTTACTAGAAAGTAATTTTCTCTCTCACACATATAACCAGGGATATGTATATACTTTGAAAAATATGTAAATATTTTATTCCTAAAACTACATTCTAAAATTGACTAATAGTCACAAGTGACTATAGTAGGCATTACAGGATATATAATATATATGTATATACATACATGTATATATGTACTATATATATATATATATATATATATATATAGAGAGAGAGAGAGAGAGAGAGAGAGAGAGAGAGAGAGAAATAGTTTTGTTCAGTTTTAAATCCATAGACTATGAAATTAGGTTGAACTGTGCAGTACTGCCACAGCATTCAACCATTACTGACATACTGGCAGTTTCATATAGTTCAACCTAAATATCTGGAAGAACAAAGTAATTGAGGAATAGGAGTACTTTGTATCATGAAATACAGATGGAAGAGAAAAATAAACAATAGTACACATATACATATACCATATGAATATGGGATAAAAGATAGGTTAAAGAGCTACCTTTGTAGAAGGCTTATCAGTGGAAGTCTCCAAGGGTATTTAAATAGGGGATTATTAACTTCTGAACAAACCTATGCAACTCTCATAACCAGTAATAAAATCACCACAAAAATCAAGATTGGAAGTAACAAGGGCTTGATCTAGATTGGTAGAAATGGGAAAAAGGAGAAAAAAAACAAACAGGGACAATGCAATTGACAGAAAGCTCTTTGATGAGTCTCATACTATTTTCAATTTTACCTTTAATAATAAGCATAGTGTTCAGCAGAGCTCAGAAACACAAAGACCTTTGTTCAATTTAAATTAATCCTATATGGACCTGTAAGACTTGTAAACTAACTGGATGTAGAAAGACAGGAGTTACCACTAATGATTCTCACTCAGCAACTAGGGGAAGAAAGGTACCACTAACAGAAAGGGGTATTAGGGAAGCTAGCTTGGAAAACACACACAATTTGAATCTGGACAAGTTAAAGTTCAGATGCCATCAGTATTACAGGGAAGTGTTACAGATATATAAGGAGTATGCTTAGGGGATCTTCAGTTCAGAATAGAATGCAAGTCTAAATTACCCTTTACTAGGAAGTAATTTTCACACACACACACACACACACACACACACACACACACACACACTCAAGTGGTATAAAGGTCTTCTTAAATAAAAATCAATAAATTAGACAGACTTATACTCACATTATTATCCGGGGGTGATATTCCATTACTGAGTTATTGAGATAAAAACGCTTGAAATACATACAAGCTGTACCCTAAGGTTAAAAAAATATATATTATCAGAATCTATTCACACATACATTATATGTTAAATTTAGTTAAAAAAATTTATTTGTCGAAAGTTTCTTTGAAAACATTTATTTGCAAAGAACTATGCACCCCTATCTTCATTGCAGCATAGTCATGGTGGCCAAGACATGGAAACAACCAGTGTCTTTCAATAGGATTGGCTAAAGAAGATATAGTACAGATATACGATGAAATACTAGTTAGCCATAAGAAAAGATGAAATACTGTCATTGCAACAACATGGATGGACCTTGAGAATATTATACTAAGTGAAATCAGTCAGAAAAAGCTAAGAACCATGTGATTTCACTCGTATTTGGGATATAAAACTGAAACTCATAGACACAAACAGTAGGGTAGTTACCCGAAGAAAGGGAGGGTCAAATGGTAACAGAAGATGATTTGACTATGGGTGGTAGGCACACAATGCAATATACAGATCACATATCATAGAAATGTATCACTTAAAAACCTACGTGATTTTATTAACCAATGTCACCTCAATAAATTTACGTTAAAATTTTTTTTAAGGTTATTCATACAAAATATCAAACCTTAATTCTTCTTTAATCAAAATAACTGTGATGAAATGTTACAGAAACACCACAGCCAAGACCCTTTGTTGTCCTTTACCACCCACCCTGGGTTATCCTTCCTATGGTTATTGGCTTATTAAAAAATGTTGTGATTATTTTAGAATTCAGATTAATAAAAGTGGCCCAATTTAGAAAAATTTAAGGAAGAAAATGATGTTCACAGGTTAACCAGTCAATGTAAAAATATTAAGTATAACACAGGTGGGGCAATAAGCCTTCTCTCTAAATCTACTCCAGGTCTGTGATATTAACCATGGTTGCTGCTACCAAACCAAACAGGAGAAGCAGCACCTACTGTTTACTGTCTGCAAGCATGTGCCAGGCTCTGTGCCACACACAAAACTACCATCTTGTTTAAGCCGTACAACAGCTGATGAAACATTGCTATCTTCACTCTACGGAGAAGAAAACTGAGAGTATCAATGAATTAACTGACTTGGTCAAGGTCTCACATTTTAATAAGGGACAGGGCTGGATTCAACAAAGACTTGCCAGCACTTTTAACCACTATGTCATATGGCTAGAACCAATGAAATAAACATTTATCTATTTCATGATAGAAAAAAGGAGTATTTCCTTTTATATATCTTATGTGAAACAAAAACAAAATTCTTAGTCAATTATAAATAAGCATCTATATATATAAAAGCCAAGCGACCATCAGACGTGTCACTATGACATGCACTGCAGCTGGCCAACCAGCCCGATTGGGGGCGGCCCCTCCCACCGGCCAGGCCAGATCAGGGGCGGGGCCAGCTGGCCAACTGCCCACGGCCGGCCCTGTCCCCAACCAGCCCTCATCAGGGCGGGCCAGCCGGACCCCACCCATGCACGAATTTGTGCACCAGGCCTCTAGTGTTGTATAAAGACAAGTTCCACAAAGTTGTTCATTCAAGGACTCAGTTTCTTCAGCTGAAAAGATCACTTAAACCTACTACTTCATGCTATAATTCTCTTATCAGAAAAGAACTAAATCTAGAGATAGAAGCTAATCAAGTATATCTAAAATTCTTCCTGAATCTTTGATCTTTCCGGTGAAGGTCTAGTAAACTAAGAAGACACTACGAATACTTTTAGACTTAATATGTTCAATAAAGTTCAATTTTTTCAACTATAAAAATGGAGATTATTTCCTAGGGGGTTAATCCATACTGTGTACTAAGATATTCATTATGTATGACTTCAAAACTTAAGACTTATAATTAAGAGACTTTCATATTTGATCTTCATGACAAATCTGTGAAATATGGAAAAAATATTTTATACTCCTCCCTCTTTTTTCTGTATCTTTCAGCTTTTTAATCTCAGCTTATCTTCTATAAAAAAATAATACACAAAATAGGAACAATTACAGGGACAGTGTATTTAATCCATATAGCCAAAAAATTCTAACTACCTGTTTCTCCTCACCACTGCCCCATCACAGTAAGCACACACCTACACACAAATGGGGTCCTCAGAATCATATATCTGAAACATCATAAGACAATTTTTCACCCAAAGAAAATCTCCAGCTTCTATAAATCAGGTTTAAACATTCCTTATGGCATGAGCTTCAGCTAGGGATCTTTTGATTAAAAATATGAATAACTGCATTATTTCAAACATATTTCTGAGTGTGATACAGATGAAGAAGCACTAATTTATGTTCTGGTCCTACTTCTACTGAGGACCTGGAGGGAAAATAATTTAATTTTTTCTTTCTTTATAAAGTGAGGATGTCACGGCTTATCATACGTCTAGAAGACCTCAGAATTCTTCTATGAAATTAGACTTGAAACATAAGATATAATATAGGAATTCATAATTTAAGGCAGTTATTAAAAAATATATAATGTGACAAAAACTTAAATACATAAATTATATATTTATATAACTAAGCTGCATTCCTGAATGAAGTAGATACAGGATTGAGCTATAAATTTAGAAGAGTTCATATTTCAGAAGTCAGCCAAAGGACATACTTCATCGCTAACATAACTTACCACCACAGACCTCGGCATTGCTGGCTTAAACACTGAACAAAATTCCAATAATCTTTTCTCATAGTATTTGCAGAGTGTCATTTCTTCATGAGGCTCAAGAAAGACTGGATCATTAGGAAGAACCTTTAGATCAAAAGTTACAACAAAAGTTCAGTAAATTAAATGATCTTAAAATATTTTTCCCTGTCCAGATTAGTTTATATCTCCAGCCAAAGGGAAATACACTACATCTCATTTTCTCTTTATAGAATTGTTAAATATTACATAAAATAGCATTAGGAAAATATTTAATTAACTAAAACTATACCATCATTTCACAATTTCTCAGAGAGTCAGCTGGACATTGCTTCATTAAGGTATAACCAATCCTGATGGTATGTGTGCATATGCTCACAGGTAAGTGAAATAAAAAAGAAGATATAGCCATAACCGGTTTGGCTCAGTGGATAGAGCGTCGGCCTGAGAACTGAAAGGTCCCAGGTTCGATTCCGGTCAAGGATATGTACCTTGGTTGTGGGCACATCACCAGTAGGAGGTGTGCAGAAGGCAGCTGATCAATGTTTCTCTCTCATTGATGTTTCTAACTCTCTATCTCTCTCCCTTCCTCTCTGTAAAAAATCAATAAAATATTTTTAAAAAAGAAGATATACACTGCTAATAATTGGAAAGTTTTCAAGACCCCTTTCTCAGTCACACAGGTTGAGATAAAAATCAACAAGTATCTCAAGGATAATTCTGACTCTGAAAACATTACCTCTCA